TCGCGCTGCTGCCGAAACGCTACTACGGCCGCGTCGCGATCGACCGCCTGGAGGCGATTCTGCTACGGGGGGATTCGAAATCCCGCCGCGCGCTGCACTCGAGTTCCGCGCGGTGGATGGTGCTCCTTCGCTCGCGTGATGGACGGCCCCTTCTGGAGGGGGAGGGGAGGGGGGATCACCCCGCGCGGACGCCCCCTCCCGCCGGGAGTTGGAGCCGCAGCCCTGACGACTCCCCCTCCCACTCCGATCGTGAGGGATTCGACGATGACGCCTCGCCAAGGGGGTCGCGCTCGCGGCGAGCCCTGCGACCCTCTCGCAGCGACGCCTCCCGCAGCGGGATCAGCTCGTCGACGAATCTCTCGCGATCGGAGCGGACCCCCGGGCGGGGCTTCGGGCGGCTGAAAATCCTCCGCTGGAGCGCGATGGCGATTCGCTTCAGAGACGACCGCGAGGCGGAGTGCTGGTGCAGCCTGCTGCGGGGGATTCACGAAGGGGGCGCGTGGTGGGCCCTCGCGCGGTCGTTGAGCACGGAGAACACCGCGAACATCCTCCTCGCGCGGATTTTATTCCAAAACATGCGCCGGGAGGCGATGACGACGTTGATTAAGAAGCTCATCCAGCAGAAGCTGGATAAACTCGCGCGGACGAAGTTCCCTCGCGACCTGCAAGGCCGCCTCTACCTCGACGACTTCATCATTGGGAAGCACATCCCCTCGATCGGGGATGTCTCCGACGCGCGGTTCGGCGCGAATGGCGAGGTCGGCTTCGACCTGAGCGTCTGCTACGACGGCGGGGAGGAGGGCTTCTCCTTGTACTTCCGCTTCGCGCTGACGTACCGCGGGATCCGCATCCCGCACGTCGTGCTCGCGGTGAAGCTCCACCACCTCACGGCGTCGCTTTACGTCAGCGTGAGCCCGCCGCCGTCGAAGCGGCTGTGGGTGGGCTGCCACGTCCCCCCGGAGGTGCGGGTGGAGATCCACCCCGGCTGCGCCTCCGGCCGCGGGCTGCTCCATCGCATCCTCAGCTCCCTCCCCAGCCTCGACGCGCTCGCGACGAACCTCGTGAAGTGGTATTTCTTCTCGAATATGGTGCTGCCACACCTCGACGACTTCCCGCTGCCGAACCTGGAGAAGACGCCACCGACGAGCCCGGAGACGGGGGGGGGGAAGGCGCGCGACTTCGACCGCCTGCGCGCGGCGGAGCTGAGTGGGCAGCCAGTGAGGGCCGCTGGGGAGGTCCTGCCGGAGCCCTCCGTGATGGCCGCCTAGGCGAACCCCCCTGCGAATGAAAAAAGGACGGTGAGGAGGGGGGATCCCGTCGAGTGAGGGGATCGGATCCGATCTAATCTCCACCCAGGCATCATGTATATATATATATATATATATATATATACATATATATATGTAGCCGTGCGTTTTACCTTTTGTCTTTTTTCTCTCGGAGAGTATTCGTGATGAGAAGGTCATATTTCAACCACAACGCATACCGGACAGGGTGGGAAACGGGAGCTGGCCGTGCAAACACGAACAAAAGATTGTGCAGGGTTTAATAGTCAGCGCAAGCATGCGTGGGCTGCCGCGTCGATGAGTACACAAAGAGCAGCTTATGATTTAGTACTCTATCACATCTTTGATCTTCATTCCTCGTCTCTTGGGTCTTTTATGCTTTCTTTACTTTTTTTTGTTTTTATTCTTACTGAATTCACTTCTAAGGGTTCAAGTTGATATGCTTATCACCAATCCTTCATCACAGTCGAAATTCAAAATTTTGTAAAATTCTCTCATAGTGGGCTCCTAGGCAAATCTTAAAGGCTTGTATTACTACATCTTGTATATGCTATATCTTTTTTGTTGTTGAGGATAAAGTAAGACGTTTGAGCGAATTTGAAACTCTCCGAGGCTTCGTGCCGTCTTGAGAACGATTTTAGACAAACTATCTGTGCATTGATCCATTTCCTTTGGCTTTTACGGTCGTTCTTACGCGCATCACGGCAATTTCGTGATTCTAAATATCGGAAAAAAAATATAATAGAGGACGAGTTTTAAGGAACAATTGCACTCCATCGTTTTAATTAATATCAGGGAATAGACACATCTATTTACTGCGCGCACGCGACCATTTACTGCCTAGCGTTGTACCTCACACATATATGACTTGGTGTTGGCAAACGGAACGGCATTTTGGAAACTAGCGGATCCATGATTATATTAATTGAACTATTTTTGTTTTTGATCGGAGTCTTCATTGGCGTCACTTTGTTCTTTCGCGGTTTCATCTATGTATTCTGTAGTCTGGATACAGCGTTGAGCCGCATGGTGAAGAAGAAAACGATTCAACATGCTCAATTTGATGCCTTGGCAAAGGCCGCTGCACAGATACCCCCTTCTATGGTAGAGTCGCTCTGCCAAGTTGCGAGTTTTGAGGATGATGTTGTTGGCGAACCGATCCGCTGCCGCGCCGTGTTTTGCGGCCACTCGATGATTCTCTATCAGACGGATTCGCTAAAAGTATTGCCAGATCACAGACACCAGGTGGTGCACGAGCACTTTCTATTCCGTATCAACAGCTTCTGTGTCGATGTTTCCACGCAGCGAATTTCACAATATCACCGACATACCAACAAATTTACGCGCTTTTCTGCCATAAAAGGCAGATGCGTTATTCTGAGCGCGAAGAAGGGATTGCCGCTCTTTTTCGAGGATCCAGCGACATTAGTGTTGAGGAAGATCGAAAACGCGAAGCTCGAGCGCAGGAAGCGCATCCAAGCGCAGCAGCGGTCGAATTATGAGATAGAGACATGTCCGGCGGGGGACTCCGTTTACTCACCATACCCAAGAGATCCGAAATTTGATGAGAGGTATATCCAAAATAATCTAAGTAGTTCGCCTCGTAATCAGGGGAGCCCTTCGGGAGGGATGAAATCCGATGGACAGGTTCACGATACTGCCCAGTGCTTGCAAGTCTACCATTCCAGTGGGAGGGCTGATTCGAGTTATTATTGCGATAGCACGCCTAAGGCCCCTAAATTGACGAGGAATGATGGTGAGGTTCCCATGTCGGAATGGCGCTGCATCGTTATCAAGTTTCCCTCGAGAAGAGAGACCGAGCGCTGGCTTAACCTCCTACAGGCCACATCGCAGACGCATGAGTGGGTGAGTTACCTCATGCATCTTCCCAAGATCGATGTCCTGAACTCCTTGTTGGCGCGCCTCTTTTTCGAGAACACACGCACTTTAGGCCTGCACAATCTGTTCGTGGGAAAGATCTCCAAGAAGTTAGAAAGCGTCTCCAAAAGGCTACCCGAACATGTCAAAGGATGCATCACCCTCGACTGTCTTGTCATTGGGGGCGAAGTTCCATTATTTAATGACGTGAGCGCGGCGTCGTTATCGTCCTGTGGCAGCCTAAGTTTCGACTTTGATGTTCTCTATCGCGGTGGACTGATTCTCAGCATTCGCTTTTCTATCACCTACCGGGGTATTCGGGTTCCTGACATCATTTTTCATATCAAAGTCCTGGAGTTGGCAGGGCGGGCGCGGTTCAGCGTGAGTCCACCACCGACGCAGCTGTGTTGGATTGGAACCTCGACTTTGCCTCAACTACGGCTGCAGTTCACGCAGGAGGTTCCCTCCCACGATGGTATTCTACACATCCTCACAAAGATCATGCCCAATATGAACCAGCTCGTGTCCGATCTGGTGCGGGTGAAGCTTTTCGAGGATATGGTGCTGCCCAATATGGAAGATTTCCCGTGGCCTGGCTTACCCGACAACCCGTCCTCGAAGTCAATGGGTAGTCGTGATGACCTTAGCACTACCAGCATGTGAGGGGGCGGGGTTGTGCGAATGACTGGGGGGAGGGAGCCACAGGTGTCTCTGAGTCGGGGGGCATCGTTGTTCCCATCTGGAGGTGATGTGAAGAAGGGGAAGGTGGGATCACCTCGGCATTGGGAGCGTTGGATCGGCACAATCAGCAGACCTACCTTTCTTCACAGCACCAGCGTGAGTTGGAGTAATGGGGAAAAAAAAACAAAGGGACATCCGGGTTGATAAAAAAGACACCCATCCCTTTACACGTAACCAACTGCATGACAAATTTTCAAATATCTACTTTTTTTTTTGAACGTGTGACAGGTGTCGTGACTATCAGCGTTGCGTAAACTATACCGCTTGATTTAATCAGCTCCTTTAGCCAAAGCAAAAGTGCTGATCCTAGTTTTCCCTAGATACCCTTTTTGCGTTCCAAATTGAGTTCCTCCGGGCTGTTGGGTGTACAGCATCCACGAAAACTCTCAAGGGGGTTTGGGGGCAAGACCTTGTCTGTCGTCTCAAGCAGCAATTTTGTCAACTAGACGGTACTTTATGCTTTTAAAATTCGTACACAAGTCCAACGTACAATGCTGGAAAGTCCTGATACAACTCGCAAAAATAATTAGAAAGCGAAGGATCCACCGCAAGCCGTGGACCATCTGTATATACATATGGATAAACATTAAAAAGATCTGATTCTTGTCCTGTGTCTGCTTTTGAAGTTCACTTAAAGGTGAAGGGGAAATTCATTTAACACAATTAGGGAATTCCAAGAGGCTACCCCACATGTCCGCATCCTCGATGGAGGGCGCCCCCAAGGCGGTAAAATTCACCTCGAAGAACCTCTTCGACAGCGTCTTCGCCGCGATCCCGGCGGATGTGGCGATGGACTACGGCCCCAACTCGCTCTTGGAGGAGCTATCCATGGTGAGGGGGTCCAACAACGAGGTGCCGCGAGGTGGGGCGGGGGTGGACGGGGCCGCGCCGCCGGAAGGCGACGACGGGGAGCCGGCCGAGAATATTCTTCTCCGGGATGAAATCGGCGCGACGATGCCGACAGCCCCCCTGGCGAGCGTGAAGCCCGGCGTGGCGGCCAAGCCATCCGTTCTGCAGGGGACCCCGACGCCGCCTTCGCGTCGCGCCGCCGCGGTGGTGCAGTTCGAGTGGGATCGCGACGA